AGAAAAAAAAACAGAAAATTTGTGGACAGAAGAATGACAGACGGACAGCTAGACAGACAGACAGAGTGATTACTATAGGGCACCCGCAAATCCTTGCGGGGCCCTAAATATATTGTTATAATTGAATTTGATTTCTAATATTGTTAAACATCATTCAACAAAACAAGATATTTTAATTTTACATTTTAAAATTAGTCTTCTTTTATGCAAGTAATATGTGGATATAAATATAACTTGATATACTTTGGATATTAATGTAGATAAGTTTAAGAAATGAAGAAATTTGGACCAAAGAACTGCAAACGATAGTATTATTCTCCCACCTACCTTAAAGTCAATTTTCAAAAGTTAACATATTCGATGAATTTTTAACATTTTTCATAGATAATTATATGGATTTTCATAAAACATTACTTATTTGGGAAAACAAAGAGAGATAACTCAATCTTAGTAAAACTTGTGTTTTTCACTATAGAAATCAACGGAAAATATTTTTAAAACATTTATATACCCCCAAAACGAAGGGGTATATAGATTTTAAACTTGCCCATAACTTTTGATTTAGTGGACCTATGACATTCATATTTCACATGTGTATTCCTTGAGACCTTTCTTTGGGTACCACCAACTTTGACCTTTTGACCTCGGAGTTTGACCCACTTTTACACAAAAATTTTGAACTTTTACTTTGGCCTTATCTTTTGAACAGTAGAAACCAGGACATTTATACTTGACATATGTATTCTTTGCGGTAAGACCTTTCATTGGATACCAACAACCTTGATCTTTTAACCTTGACCTTGGAGATTTCTGTACTTATGAAAAAAACTTTAACCTTGGCTATAACTTTTGAACGGTGAGAGCTAGGGCTTTCATTTTTCACACATGTAATCTTTGTGAAAAGATGCTTTATTGGATACCAAGAACCTTGACCCTTTGATCTTGACCTTGGAGTTTGACCTAGTTTAAAATATAACCTTGAACATAATTTTTGAAGGTAAGAACTAGGACTTTCATACTTCACAAATTTAACCATTGCGACAAGACCTTCATTTTATATCAAGAACCTTGGCCCTTTGACCTTGACCTTGGACCCACTTTTACACAACCAGAAGTCTCTGTCGAGACTGAAGCTCTACTGGTTTGTACTTATAGCAATAGAAGAGAAAAGTACTTAGGCAGTTGGGAATTGAAACTTTTCAACAGCAATTAATAGAAAAATGATCCTTGATTAAGTCTCTTTATGTTTTAGTGTAGTCTACTTGCATGCCACATTACATTATAATCAGATTAAAACTGTATTTGGAGTAGCATTTTGAGAGTATTGAACAGAAATTTCTATTTTTAGTAACCGTGGCAACACCGTTCATTGAAGTGAAAAACTATATACAGAATTATGTATCTTAGTGTAGTCTACTTGTGTGCAAAGTTATATTGAAATCAGACCAGAACTGTAGGAGGAGTAGCATTTTGAAAGAATTTCACAGAAATTTCTATTTTTAGAACCATGTCAACACAGTTCATCGAAATCAAAAACTGATAAATAGATTTATGAACCTTAGTGTGTTCTACTTGTGTGTCAAGTTATATTGAAATCAGACCAAAATTGTAGGAGGAGTAGCATTTTGAAAGAATTTCACAGAAATTTCTATTTTTAGTAACCACGGCAACACCGTTCATCGAAATCAAAAACCGATATATATATAGAAATATGTATCTTAGTGTAGTCTACTTGTGTGCCAAGTTATATTGAAATCAGACCAAAACTGTAGGAGAAGTAGCATTTTGAAAGAATTTCACAGAAATTTCTATTTTTAGTAACCACAGCAACACTGTTCATCGAAATCAAAAACCGATACACAGAATTATGTATCTTACTGTAGTCTACTTGTGTGCCAAGTTATATTGAAATCAGACCAAAACTGTAGGAGGAGTAGCATTTTGAAAAATTGTTTACAGACGGACAGACAGACAGACGGACGGACGACGGACGCATTACTATCGCATAAGCTCTTCTGGTCTCTGACCAGTAGAGCTAAAAATTCCGAACTTTTACTTTGATCCTAATTTTCAAATGGTAGATACTAGGAATTTCATATTTCAAATATCAATTCTTTTTGGCAAGACCTTTTATTTGAAACCAACAATTTGACCTTTTGACCGTGACCTTGGAGATGTCCATATTAATGTAAAAACTTTAACCTTGGCCATAACTTTTGAATGGTAAGGGCTAAGGCTTTCATACTTCAAATATGTTATCCTTGTGAGAAGACCTTTCACTGGATCTCAAGAGCATTGACCCTTTGACCTTGACCTTGGAGTTTGAACTACTTTTTACTTTAACCTTGGCCATATAACTTTTGAACAGTAAGGGCTAGCGCTTTCATACTTCCAATATGTAATCTTTGAGACGAGGCCTTCAACCTTGACCTTTGACCTTGACCCTGCAGTTTGTCCTACATTTTAAAAATGTTAACCTTGGTCATAACCCTTGAACAGGTGGTGGTAGGGTTTTATATTTCACATTTGTATTTCTTGTGAAAAGGCCTTACTTTAGGTACCAACATATTTGATCTGCATTTGAGAAAGGTAAACCTTCGCTTTGTTGCCAAACGGGGGCAACAGTGTTTCACAAACACATCTTGTTTTTTTCCTGGATTACACATTATTCATATAAACATAATTCCTAACAATTGTAAATAAAATGTGTACGAGTTGACTTCTGATTTGTGTACGAGTTGACTTCTGATTCATGAAGTGGACTTTTGTACAATTTATGTACGAGTTGACTGGACACCATTGAGGGGTTTGAGAGATAGAAAATAAAATCGTAAATTTTCAATTCCGATCATCGATGTTCTACTATTATAGATACTGGAAGTATATGTAAATAAATTCATTGCACGTTTTCAATTGTATTTTACAGGTAATTTACTTGATATCAACACATACACAATGATCGTATTTCGAATATATAAAATGAAATCCTAAAGTTTCAATATTTATTTGTTCTTATTTCATGATAACATGAAACCCCAATAGCAACTGTCGGTTTGGCTATTCTGCGACTTGATCGGGTCCTTTTCCAGTGTTAAATAGATTTTTCTTAATCGGTATTCAGTCACTGACAAAGGAATTTGTTGTGCAATATTTGCCATAATGGTATTATGTAGACTCTAATAAGAGTTCATAGCATTGGCTTATACATTGCATATATTGCCATATATAACATTACTTTATATATATACATTGGTTAACAGGTGTTACACAGGTGCTTTTACATAATTTTACACAAATATGTATGTAAAAATCAGAAAACAGAAAGGAAAAAAAAGTACACTGTAATGATGCAGGTGTCTTTTATATTATTAATACTGATGTATGGTAGAATTTTCCCCCTTTTTAAAACATTCAAACACAAATTTCCCAAGTTTTTAAAGTGTACTTTCTGAATTGGAATTAAGTAATTCAATAAATTTTGCCATACTAGGTCTTACATAATAATATTTTAAAAAATATTTTTATCTTAACTCAGTATAAAAGTTACATACTAAAACAAAATGATATTCGTCTACTATTTCATTCGATGTACAAACATACTTTTCCGTTCTCTTGTGGGACATATTTTATCATATCTACAAGATTCAATGCGTAGACAATGAGAAGATAATCTGAGTCTAGTTAATGCTTTTATGATATATACAATTAAGATATTCAGCCTGTTTTTATTTCATGATTATGAAATCCTAAAGTTTCAATATTTATTTGTTCTTATTTCATGATTACATGAAACCCCAATAGCAATTGTCGGTTTGGCTATTCCGCGACTTGATCGGGTCCTTCTCCAGTGTTCAATAGATTTTTCTTAATCAGTATTCAGTCACTGACAAAGGACCTAGTTATATGGAGGGAAAAACGGAACCGGAGGTTCACTTTGAGAGATCGAGAACTTCTCAAGATCGGAGTTCAGGGCTCTCACACCACTTTTTGGGACTGGGGCCGGGGCCATTCAAATTGGGAGAATTATCCTCAATTTAGGAAAAGTTGGATGACCAACATTCATAAAAAAAAAATCCTCAAACTGTTCTAGCATTTTGTCATCAATTTAACTCTAGTTTTGAATAAACAGTGAAAGTAGGCTAATTATGAAAGTACATTAGCTTTAGATATTGCGGATATTTGTCTTACTGAGTGACAGTCAATAGTCACATAATCCCAAATTTCCTCGATCACATGGTCAACATTGCTTACCAATTCAGCGCAAGACTGAACATGCTGAAGTGTGAGCTTGTTTCTAGGTGCAGCTTACTAATGTTTAAATGAAATGTCTATTTTTGAAACCAAAATGATGTATTTGTCGATTTTCATGACAAGATACTCTGCACTAACTTTACACATTTCTGTAATATCACTAACCTGGTTCCCCAAACCAGTTTACGAATGCATTTGGCGCGAATTAATTAATAGTTGTACATAGAACTAGTTTGTTTCACTTTCAATTGCAAGTGCGTTAACGTTTTGTTTTGTTTTGTTTTTTTTGCAATTAAGTTTCATGGACTTTTATTTTTTAATATTTTGCTATGGAAATGGGAAATTTACACCTTTGTTTTGGAAAAAAGAACCTTTTTGGTACCTTTTTTTGCATTGGGAATGGGGCCGAATATCGGCCCCAGATTTAGAGAATCGAGAGCCCTGGAGTTCCAACTATCTCGAATCACTTGTATTCATATAAAGCACATTCAGAAAGCACCAACACAAATCTACACTAACTTCTGAAAAAAACCATTTCTGCAAAATATTGTACATGCCAAATAAAATGCATTTACAGCATAATATAATATTTTTATTCATCTAATGACAATATTAACTTTTTTGGGTTTTCATGTTTGATTTTTTGGTTCTCCATGTTTTCATTCTCAAAATAGTTTAATTTTAATAATTCTTTGTAATGCACAGTAATGTTTTATTACTAATGGTTGATATCTTTAAAAATATCTTACCTAACCCAACAATTCCTAGCGTATCCCCTCTTATTCTTGCCGAACCCTGGGCAGCTTCTCGTAATTGTTCTGGACCACTGATTTTCTTCCCCTCTCTTACACTGTTGGCCAGCCAATATGTCCTTCGGTATAGATTCAGTATCAAACATATAGTGGAGTCAGCTACCTCTTCTACACCATATCCAGGTACATTACAGACAGCAATGCCTAAAAAACAAGAGGCTCATGGGCCACATCGCTCACCTGAGTAATCTAAGCCATGCCGTTTTTACCGGATTTCCCCCCTGTAATACCTACTGTGGCCCTGCCTACAATCAGGGGTCATGATTTGGACAAATAAGAATCTACAACACCCCTGGATGCCTCCTAGTAAGTTTCAGCTTTTCTGGCTGAGTGGTTTTTCAGAGAAATATTTTTCAAGATTTTTCTTTTATATTTCAATGTAAAACTTGGATTCCATATTGTATCCCAGTCCTATCCAGGGGGAGTCATAATTTATTAATTTAAAATCTTTGCAACCCCAGAATGCTTCCACACAAGTTTAAACTTTTCTGGTCCAGTGGTTCTTGAGAAGATTTTTTTATGATACCACCCTATTTTTGTCTTTTCTTGGTTATCTCCCTTTGTAAATTAAGGTATTTGGCCCTTCATTTTAAGAATTCAAACTCCCCTTCACCAAACAGTGCTTTGTACCAAGTTTGATTAAAATTGGCCCAGTGGTTGTTGAGTAGCAGCTGAAAATGTTAAAAGTTTAAAGATGGACGGACGGACAAAGGGTGAGCTAATAATTGATAACAAAGAACTTATATACAAGATGCCTATGGGTCCCTAAAGACCTTAGAATTACTGCAAATTTTAACTGTTATCTGTGAATACTTCCCATTCTTTTAAAAAGAATAAATACCTAGCTCTCCTGCTGATTTTACATCCACATTGTCATAACCACTTCCAATTCTGACAATGACCCGTAAACTCTTAAACTTTTCCAAGTCCTCCTTAGCCAGTGTTATAGTGTGCCACATCAAGGCACCAACTGCTTCATTCAGTACCTGTAGAACAAAAACTAAAAATCAAAGGCCTGAGAGATACATCGCATTGTATGTACAAATATAAAATATTAGATTAAATATTTGAGTTCATTCAATTTCCTCATTTGCCAGGATTATCGAGACTTTCTCGTTTGGCAAGATTTTTTTTTTGACTACACAAAGAACATAAAGTTAACTCTAAAATCAAATCCTTAGTTTCTTGATCATCCAGTCAAAAAACACTTTTATAAATACTTAGGCCAATTAAAAAAAAACATATTACCTGGCCAGCTGTCTGTGTGCATTCAAGAGAGAAGTGATTTCCTATTTTGATTTCACATAATTGCTTGCATAACAGCACGTGCCGCTTAAACTGAGCACGTACCAGACTATTAGTGAATCTCGCCATTGCTAACCCTAACGTGCATTATTCAATTTGTTTGCACACACTGTTGCAGTTACGAGACTATATATTTAAAAAACACAAGAGGCCCAAGGGCCTTGAATCACTCTTCTGATAAATTGTGCAATCTATCAAAATCTGTCACTTCTATTTGAAGCCTCCAACTCTAAGTATCCTACGACCCATCGAAGATGCATCAACTGACAAAGTTTGATGATTCTTAGCCAGTTAGGACTGAAGATATTTCAACATAGCTATAAACCATAAGAAGGTCACAATGACCTACTTTTTAATTGAAATTTTCTAAGGACTCAAGATGCATTAATTGACAAAAATTGATGATTCTAAGGCTTAAAAAAAAAATAAGTTTGTTTCCTGTAACATTCCTAAAAAATCAAGGGTCGGTAGGTCGGAAATTCTTTTTGTTTTTTTTTGTTTTTTTTGCTTATGAATGGTGAAACATCCCCAGACTGAAAATAACAGGTGTTATATTTACAGTGGACACCTAACATGGCATCCAAAATGGCTGCCAGTGGCAGAAAACGAACTTAAGGAAAGTTGTAGGGGGAAACTGTTGTTACACTAATGATTACTCTTTATATTTAAGGTAAATGTAAACTTGGTTGACATATTTTATGTCTCAAATTAAGCTACAAGCTATTTTTTTTATTTAATAAATGGAATCAGCTGATTGATCAAACGAAGTTTTGCCATTTGTCAGGAAAAAAAAATCCACCCGGGGATAATTTGAATGGGTCGGTCGGGTTACAGGAAACAAACATATTCTTTTTTTAGACCTAAGCAAATAAGTACTTGAGATATTCAAAAGATGGTCACCATGACCTTCTTTTTGGTCAACATTCTCCGAAAACCCAAGGTGCATCAATTGACAAAGTTTGTTGATTCTAAGCCAATAAGTACACGAGATACTTAAATATAGCCATAAAACTTTTTAATTGAAATTTTCTGACGACTCAAGATACATTGATTGACAAAAATTGATGATTCTAAGCCAATAAGGACTTCAAATATATTTTCTTGAGGAATATTTATTACTGTCTTGTTAAATTGAGAATTGTTTGTAAATGGAGGGGGTGTCCACAACTATTAGAGCTAATACATGTACATGTACATGTACATGTTCAGTTCTCCTCAAAAAATAATAATTACAACAATTGACAAAGATGCCCCCTAAAAGCTTATAATGACTGTATACAAATACATGTACACATATTTTTTTACCTTTGTGAATAAAAGTTTGTATTAAAAGTTCTTTAGGAGAAAAACCACCGCAAGAACAACACAAATATTTTCCTAAGATAATGACAACTATGTGTAAGGAGAAATATAAAATAAAGAAAAAAATAAACATTTATGATCTAATTTTCACATTATCATGATTATGACATAAAAATGATTATAATGAAATTAATACAGTCTTTAAAAAACAATTAACGAGGCTGGGGGGTGGCAGCCATTTTCAGACTATTTTGATCTCCTTTAAAAGAAGAGCTCCAAATAGAGATATACAAAAATGATCAAATTTTAAAACTAAAATGTATGAATTTTTTCTTTGCCAAATGATAGCTGACCATACATGTTAACTCTCCCGATTTAGGCGGGAGTCTACCGCTTTTTCACTCCATCTCCCGCCTACCGATTTTATTCAGAAATCTACCACTTTTCTACAAAAGCTGCGTCTAAAGTATCTTTGGTTCGCTTGGGTATCCATTTTTGAAGCCACTCTCATAAAATCTCGCTAGATATCGCGTGATTTGACTCGGAATCATACAAACGCTTTTTTTGTACATAGATTTCAAGCACGGATTTGACAACGACAACAACATAAGACTACCAGTGATTACATTGGTTACGATAAATTAATCAACATCCCTGCCATGAAAAAGGAGATACAGCTTTTAAGAATTAGATGAAAACATTTGACATCGTCTTTAAAAGCACAGAAGCTCACAACTTTATCAATAAAGTCAATAGAAATCACTCGATTGACCAAGCCATGTGGCACATCTCTACTTTCGTTTTCGCTCATCGCGGGAAATCTGATTTATTTAACGAAAGATACGAACTTGTTTTAGATCTAGATTAAACCATGCCATCATTTGTTTTGTTTAAAAACTGAATGAACATTCAGAATTATTGCCTCTATGCTATTTCAGCAAAGATCACTCTTCAAAAGGCTAAGTAAAGCAGCCAATCCAAGCAAAATGATGAGCATGAAAAATATTTGAATTGTACAATTTATGTCAAACTTAAGGTGTTTCTGTCTTCTTCTTTGCTGTTGATATATAAGATTAGTTAGTGTAGGTACCTGATTTCATTTAAGGCTTATAATATACATATATATTACATGAAAGATATCGATAATCCAAGCGTTAAACAACACGCGCGCAATGCTACCGCTTTTGAGGTCTGAATCTCCCTCTTTTTCATCACAATAGGTTAACATGTATGTAGCTGACAGCTTAAGATACCATATCTTAAAATATAAGTTAAATCTTATGGTTAATTTGTGATTAATTTGTTGACCCCCCCCAGCCTCCTTAAAATGTGACTTTTAAATCTTCATTTACAATAATTAATTTAGTACCGTTTATACTCGCCTACAAGTCGGTTTTTTGGGAGTTAAATTTTGGTCTTTTCCTATTATTTATTATAGGCGAGTTATAAAGAGATTGGTATTTTTCTAGACGCTTAAATGTACTATTTTATATACATTTCTGACAATTTTCAAAGAAAATGTCTGGATATATATGATAATTTATGTATTCTTAGATAATGCATAAAGTACAAGCATATATTTACACATTTTAATAATTTTATTTGAATTTTAAGTGAGCATTACTTATTTGTTAAATGATTTAAGATTACATATCAGGTTAAAACTTTTAAAGATTTACTTGAAATTGTCACTCGATTTCAGTAAAAAAAAATTGAACTGACTTATAGGTGGGTCAATGGCAAATCCACGGAAGTAGTTTAAAAAAAAACAAAATTTTATTTATTACGGTTGATTTTTTAATAAAATACCTTTTTTAAAACAAATAATAATTTCTCAGGCTTTTTCAGTCCCTTACCACAGGGTCCAACACTAACATTTTAAGGCTTTAGTCCAGCCAGACTAGTGCTTCTTAACTTTAACAAGTCCATGCAGGATTTTACGAGTCCATCATATCAAATAAATAAGTAAAATTAACATTGCAATGTACTTTAAAAACTTTTTAAAAATAAACAAATCATTTATGTGAAATGTTTTACTCCAAGATTTGTTGAAATTTCGATATGAACTTTTTTTTCATTTTAAGTTTTTCTTTTATGATTACATAAATTGAAACGTCCAACATCTTTCTTTATGTGTCATGCAAATCATGATTGCTAAAATGTTTAATTTCAAACCAATGAGTCCTAAGATTAAGCACCAAATTGATTTTACTCGGTTTCTTAACTTCCTGCCAAAAGGCTACCAAGCTAAAAATACATATGGGATTTTCCAGGTTTCTTTTCCACAGTTTTTATTATTTTTTTTCCAGAAAATTTTATTGTGCACGCTAATTACCCACAGATTTTATTAGTCTGATGATTTTCATGAAACTTTCAGGAATGATAGAACATGCAAAAAATCTAGATATATATTTTTTTGTTTTGATGACGTCACTTCCGGTGCCTCATTGAGATTTCTGCGATTTTGTCATTTTTAGTGGGTCACTTTGTCCGGCACTGTTCTGAAAAACCATTAAAGATAGAAGTGTGAATTTTTGAATGCTAGAGCAAACTTTTGCATGTGCCTTTTGTATATCAAACTGGCCACAATAAGTATCAGTAAATCTCAGCAATGACAGCACATCAAAATTTATAGACTCAACAGCAAATTTCAAAATTTTCAGAAACAACTAAAATTATCAGGAACAACATTTTAACAGGAAATATTTTGTTAATTATCAGAAGAACAGCACCATATCAGTAATTATCAAACATTATCAGTAAAATTTGACATCTTGTAAGGGCTGGCCCCTAAAATTAAGGGCCATGATTTGAGTAAACTTTTTCTACATATCTAAAATGCGTAACCCGAGTTTCATCTTTCCTGGCCCAGTGGGGTTCTTGAGAGGATTTAAAAAAAGAAGCAAAGTTGTCCAATACCATTAATTTTTCAATAATTCATAATTATATCCCCTTGGAAGAGGACGTGGCCCTTTTTGCACAAACCGGAATCCTTCACTAAAAAATACTTTGTGGCAAGTTTGATTAAAATTGTTTTTTTTTGGGTAACATAGTGGTTTTGAGAGCATAAAAATGTGTAATTTTCCAACAACTCCAACAACAACGACAGACAATGGAAAATTTTGAAGTCAGAAAAAATGCTTATTTTTGCCTTAATTACATGAGCTGATAAAGATAATTCAACCCATTTTTTGTTATACATGTTTTTATCAAAATATAGATAATCAGCGATAAATGTGCCCACTCACGATTGTATTGTCTTTCTAACATAGCAGGAATTTATCTCTGGTAGTATTAGTAAACTAGTGCTGAGCGGCAGCTAAGAGCTTATCAGTAGCAGGCTCTCTACAGAGAGTCTCTTTTGGTAGTTAAAGAGTTAACAGATTTGCAATTTGGTATTCAATTGCAAACCCTTATAACCACACACTTACTTTTTCATGAATTTCTTGTGTTGACTGAGCATCACAAAATGCCACAGTGGCAACATCTTTGAGTTAATGGGTGTGTATTGAACAGTCTGCCATCTAGAAGGTCATTTTGCGCGCATACGCATGCACGTGCGTGCGCGTGCAACACGTGAAATGACTTGTATACTTAATATAGCTATAACTTTTACATTTTTTAATGAAATGATTTGAAACTCATTATATAAAGATATATTAATAGTGTAGATAATGTGACAACTTTCAACAATTGAATTTGGTTCATGTTTTAAACCAAAGGCCATGCAATTGCGCAATTTTGATTGGCTGCACCAAAATCTCAATATACTTTTAGCATGATTTTTGACGAAATGCTTTGAAATTTAAAACATAGGCATACTTTAATGACGATGTTCTACAATATGATATATATTGTTGATTTCACTTGAAATTTGATTGGCTAAAACTTTGAATGCATGTTTACTGATTATCAGAGCACAGGTGGCCACCTGCAGGTTAACAATAGATGATTTTACTCAGTTAAAATCCATGATTTACCTGTGTAAACAAACAAAAGAATGGGATTTAGAAAATTAGCAAACATAATGGACTACTAGAAGAAGGTTTGGTCATCATAACATGCATTGCACGCGCATGAAAGTGCTCTATCTCTTGAAAGGTTTGAATAAAATCATAATGATCTTTTTTGTTTTTTGACGAAATGCTTTGAAATTTAAAATAAAGGCATGCTTTTGTTATATCCTACAATATGATATATAATAATTTTACACAAATCACGCGCATGCACGTGCGCTGCAATCGCATTGGCTTAAACTTTAAATGGCTATAACTCCCTTGTTTTCAACCGTGTACACGGTGTAGCAAGGTGTATGTGACATTATAGACTCCTAACACATGCAGGTGCGTGCACGTGAAATGGTAAAATAACAAATACACTACCCGAGCATTGTGGCAAGGAAAAAGTAAAAATTTTTGGATTAAATGATTTGAACAAACTTGAATCTGTATGCATCCATATAAATATGAGCAATTATGACTTTGCTATTCTTGAGAAATTTTTAAAGAGTATATATATTGTATATAAGATGATATTGTCATTACGCACATGCATTCAAGTGCGCATGCGTGCAATGCTGAAATTGATTACTTCTGGGAAAACTTTTTAAAAGTCTAAAATGTTTCGCTTTGCTTATTTAATGAAGCTTACAGGGAAAAATTTTCACATATATTTCTATTAAAACGTTTGGTCGGCCATTGCGGTCCCCGTTACAATTAGCCCTAGTTATTATTATTCAAACTTTTTCTTCTTTGTTCTCCGGATGCTTCCATATAAATATGGGTTCACCCAACTGAGTTAAAACCTTTTTAGGGTTAATAGGTGTGTAGAGTAGGTGTGCGGAACGAAGGTCATTTTGCGCGCATACGCATGCACGTGCGTGCGCGTGCAATGAGTGAAATGACTTATATGCTTTATATAGACGTAACTTTTACATTTTTTGATGAAATACTATAAAACTCATTATATAAGGATATATTAGTAGTGTAGATAATATAACATGGTCAAATTAGCACGAACTCACGCGCATGCACGTGCGCTGTGCTCTGATTGGCTGAATATAAAAATCTCAATATCTTTGCTTGTTTTTTGCCGAAATGCTTTGAAATTTCATATATTTCATAGTCATGCAGTAGGATATACTACAGTATGATATATAACAATTTTCACAAAAGCACGCGCATGCACGTGCGCTAAAAATCTGATTTATGGCTTTAATTCTAAATGGCTATAACTTCCTTATATTTCAACCAAACATGATGGGATTCAGAGCATAGATAGACATTATAAACTCTTACAAAAAGGTATGGTTATCATGCACAGGCATGCACGCGCATGCACGTGAGTTTTGCTCTGATTGGCTGAAACAAAAATATCAATATCTTTTTTTTTTGCCGAAATGCTTTGAAATTTTATACATAGTCATGCATTAGGATATACAACAGTATGATATATAAAAATTTTCACGGAAACACGTGCATGCACGTGCGGTACAATCTGATTGGCTAAAACTTTAAATGGCTATAACTTCCTTGATTTTCAACCAAACATGATGGGATTCAGAGTAGGCACACATTATACACCGTCCTACAAAAAGGTATGTCATCATGCACATGCATGCACGTGCACTTCGCTCTGATTGGCTGAAACAGAAATCTCAATATCTTTTTTGCCTTTTAACGAAATGCTTTGATATTTAAAACATAGTCATGCATTAGGATATCCTATAATTTGATAAATGATGATTTTCATGAAATCACGCGCATACATGTGCGCTGTAATCTGATTGGCTTAAACTTTAAATTGTCATAACTCCCTTGGTAATCAACCAAACAGGATGGAATATAGAACGGAGATGGACATAAGGGACTCCTACAAAAACGTATGGTCATCATGCACATGCATGCACGTGCATACAGTTCGTCTTATTTAATGAAGGTTACAGGGACTAAAGCACCAAAAGGTAGTTGGGGAGCGTTTGGGGAACATCTGTAACGGTTCCCGTTACAATTAGCCCTAGTTGTTATTATTATGCTGACTGTTGCATAAAAATGACAATATTTTCTCCAATTCCAATGTTTCATCACCTCTTACAAACATGTTAGTACACACCTATTATAACGTCACGTTTTGCTACATGTACATCAAAATCTTCTTTTCTATTATTTTGAGTGTTTCACACAATAAAGCATGATGTATAGATAGTATCAAGGAATTAAGTTAAGTGAAGGTAAAAACCTATATAAGAAAAATAATTTGTTTATTTATTTCTTGTAGTATGAAATATATGAAACTAAGTATAAATATAATAAAATACGCCGGTACATGAATCAGAATCTGTGGCATAATCTGTAGCGTGTCAGACTGACAATCTCGGGGTCATGAGTTCGCTCCCCGGTATGGGCGTTGTCGGATTTTCTTCAGAAATGGAAGCCATGCACTATTTCGGCATAGTATGCTTATGCTATATAAATCCTTAGAACAATATGTGATAATAGTAGGGTATGGGTTATATAGAGACAAACTGACAGGAAGCATAATAATTACCAAATACAATGTATCACATAAGACATACCGGGTAATTAACAGTGTGAAACAAAAGCTTCACAAGAGGTATTTACTTAAATGTAGTTCAAAAGCCAACAAAAATAAAAGCATAAATAGCACCATTCGAGTACCTCTTCACTGAATACAAAATTGATGTGCAATTTGTACCAATGATTATATACTTAGTGTTATCTTCGGATGATTTTCTTTTCCTGATTTTCTGTTTATGGTGCTTAAGTCTACATTTGTCTCCATCAGGACATGACCCAGTTGCAGCGAATAGTTGGCAGGTTAGTGTATGTCTTTTCTTGCACTAAAAACAAGCATTTCCAAAATTTGTACAGTACACAGGCTATTTAGTCTTTCACTGATATTTTCAACATAATTTGAACATTAAATTAAATGAAAAAATAAACAAAACAGCCTCATTTGTTTTGGGCTCTCTCAAGCTGTTTTGATTTTGTAGATAATACTTTTTTCTCTATAAACCTACCTTTGCACCTTTTGAACAAAATCCCTGTAGAAAATCCTGACACACCTCGGCATTCTTGCTGACCTTGACGTGGAGGTACGGACAGTTATCTCTACTGCAGACCCCCCGTAAGAAGTAGGAGCACACAGGCATCTTGTCTTTGTCCACTTTATGAGAGAAAGGACAGTCAACAATATTGCACGTCCCTCTTAGGAATCTGCATAAAAATATGAATCAATTGAATCATTAACAAAAGAATAGTAACCAAAGTGTACAAGATTAAAAATATTAAAGAAACCTAATAAACAATATATTACAATATATTAATACTATGAGTATTGGTTTTGCATCACCTGGTGAAAAATGGCATATTCAAAATAAATTTGTGAAGAAGCAATGGAAACAATGAAACAAGATACCTTAGGGCTAGGTGGTCAGCCAGTCACCTGAGTATCAAGAGTGATCTCACACACTACGACCTGGCCTGGGACCATAAAACCTAGATAAGCTCACTTTTGATCTCAGTCTCACTTTTCCACTTTATATTCCTTTGGTAAAAGTGTGACTGAGTTCACACCTGTTTAAAAAATATATTGGGTCTCTTACCGGTGGGCCATGGCGCAGCTCACACCTTTCAAATTCTTGAGGCCTAGACCACAGCAAGTGTATAACACACTCAATTTTCATGCGAAATTCTCTTAGGTTTCACTACAACAACAATTATAAACTTACATGTTCTTTGTTAATTTATTTATCCTTTTTCAAAAAATAAGCATGTATCCCGTAATTAAGATTTTAAATACATAACAAAATTTGCAGACTTCTGATAAAGTTTTAACCAGCTGATTCGTATCGCTTTCTAGAAGTGATTTAGGTGTACTTTTTAATAAAGTGCCGCGCCACTGCATGATTTATGCCCGTCAAAAAAAATTTTCAATTTTCTTGAACAGTTTAGGTGCAACAAAATCACATCAACCTTGATTGTAACATTACGATATTTTTCCATTTCACACAGCCATTTTTCCCCTGTGATGTAGGCATCAATTATAATAAATATTACATCACTGATTGCATTTCTGTGCTGGTTGTGTTAGACCTTGTCAAATGCCCATCATCAAATTAGTCTTAACAACTTAATCTATACCAAATTAATTTTGAAAAGAAAAGGCTGGCCATCAAATGAAATGTTATAAACTGACCATTTCTTCTGTCTACATACACCAAAGGGTACAGATATAGTCACTTAATCAGAGCGACTGAGACAGCTAGCCTTCCTACACTGAACTCATTAATTAATCTTTAACTGAGTCACTACAAACAAGGATAATTCACTGGTATCCTATAAAATTTTTTTAAAAACATATAAAATACTCATGGATATTTTGTTTTGGTTGAGATTTAATTTTCTGTTTTTAATGATGTAATTCATATGGACAGGAATCCTCCATAAAATTAGTTTTTAAATTAATAATATTA